CCGGTGACTAAGCCATTTAAAATGTAGGTCACCATAAGTGTAGGCTTAAAATTGTTTGCGTGACACCTAAGAAAACATATTCAGGAAAACATATAATTTGATTTCGCTGTTGTAGAAAAGTAATTGATCGTGATACTTGCAGCTGTCGCAAGCTTGCTACTTTAGTGGGAACGTATGGCGTAGCGGCAGACTCGGAACCAAGAGGTCCCGGATTCGAGTCCTGATATTCCACGGATCTTGTGCCCTTGGCAAAGGCATTTAACACGACTTTTTTCACTTCGCTCAGGTGAAAATGACTATTGTATTGTCCCCTGTGTTGGTGGCGGCATTAATATAAAATTTGGCAATTTTCATGTTTCTGGCATGCCCAAATCATGGAAAATGGCCCTAAAACATGTTTGGGCTGTCACCATGGCAACGGTCGATACGGAGCAGAAAGAAAGCTATTTTGAGGGGTTGTGGGCCAAGTACTATCACTGTGCAAAATTTGAGCCAAATCGATTTTTTTACCCCTGCCACCATTGTTTGATCCTTACAGACATTCGCTCTTAAAACACTTCAAATGCACGGTATCAAATGATGATGAAAATGTGCGAAGAAATGGCATCCCTAGTAATTCAAGTCATGGATTGCCACATTGGATGCCTTTAAGTCTCCAGGTACGTATACGTGATACTGATATGAACCATATCTGTATCTGTATCAGTACATCCGGTATAACCGCCATAACACACCAGCTCCGCAGGCGGCAGGCGGCGCGGCGGCAGCTAGCTTTATCACACCGAACGACTTGTTACACTCAATCTTTGCACATTTAATTGCAGGAGTTGTTTAAGGCTTTCTAGTGATATATACCTTCAGACGTCGGTTAACATACATGTACATGTATGCAGAGGAATACGCTGTATACGTCATATAAGTGTGTGCCCCCCTGCTACCAGTCGACTTTATACTATATCAAAGAAGTATTATAGTAATGCATGTGGATTGTCGTCGTTTGTAAAGTGGAGTCGTGTGGCGTAGCGGCAGAGTGCTCGACTCGGAACCAAGAGGTTAGAGTCCTGACATGCCACCGATCTTGTGCCCTTGCGAAAGGCACTTTACGCGACTTTCCTCACTTCGCTCAGGTGAAAATGAGTATTGTATTGTCCCTGTGTTGGTGGCGGCATTAATATAAAGTTGAAAAAAAACTTGAAGTGTGCCGTCACCACTTCTTATGATTATATGTTAAAATATATATTTAAAAAATCATTTGTACTCACCTTAACACCGTGCAGGAATTAAGGCGGAGTGTGTGATGTCGATGACACAAAGCCAGTGAATTGTCATGTGGGCATCAAACGTCCAAATGACGATCACAGTGTGTCATTGGACAATGCGTATATCACCCCCACCTACACAGTATCATGCAATGAATAATCTATTTTCAATTTGCCACCTTGCGTATAGGGCCGTCTTTTGGCCGTGTCTAAACGGAATCACCCAAGGCGGTTTACATGTGGTTTACCCCGAAGCCGGTTTCAAGTGGCTCCATCTGAACGCTCCGAAATCACATTGAAAGCGCCTCGATCCCAAGCCACTTCTAGAGGTGGTTTCGAATCGGTTTCCCCGCATCGCGATTTGCGTCTGAACGCAATGTGGTTTCAATGTGACTTCGCCTGGTCATGGATTACGGAGTGATATTTCTTTATTTGTATGCAATACCAACTTTTACGTGGCAGCAACTTAAAGAGCAGTAATGGTCAAATAATGTGTCCGTTCTAGGGCGAGCTTCACCGCCTCTGGCGGGACCACGTCGGCATTCGGCCGAGATACGCTGGGAGGGGGGCATCAGCAAGCAGGTCGTTGACCTCTGACATGATCTGACTGATCGCGGTTTGGGTGATTCCGTATAGACACGTCCTTTGTTGACGTAGAGAGAGAACACCACAGACTCATTAACAAGAGAGTGGGACGTGACCCAATTAAGTTGCAACGGCGACGTGTAAATTATTCAACAACTTCGTTGGGTAGTCAACAGAGGAAAGGCATGGCTGAGGCCACACCAATTTAATTTGTTGGTTCTCAGATTAAAAAAAATATGGAGCGACAGGGCGAAAAAAAAATAAAAACCTGCGGATCCTATAGTAGCCCCAGGAAGTCAACAAAGTATCTGATACCAGCCCAAAAAAGAACAAGAAACAGTCATGCCTTCAAATATCAGAGTTATCAACCAAGAATTGAGGTGTTCAAAAACTCGTATTTCCCCAGAACTATCGTTGCTACCAAGCACAGTTGGGCCATCATCACTAGAAAGCTTTAAACAATTCCTGCAATCAAATGTGCAAAGATTGAGTGTAACAAGCCATTCGGTGTGATATAGCTAGCTGCCGCCGCGCCGCGTGCCTGCGAAGCTGGTGTGTTACGCCGAAGGGCGGTTATACCGGCTATATACCGATACCGAACATACCGGGCTGGGTTAAATTTAAACAATGAATTTTGAACTTTTAATAAAACCACCACATCGAAAAACTTTAAATTAGGAAGAAAATGACTTTCTTCCATTATTGGAGACAGAATATGAGCATTTTGTAGATATTTTTTCTGCAAATTAGAAAAAAATGAAGAGGCGAATCCGAGAACCAACAAATTGAATTGGTGTGGCCTTGGTTGGGCAGACAACAGAGAAAAAGGCATGACTATAAGGCGCACGCATGAATACACTGATGAAATATAAAACTCCCAGACAATCAAATTTTTGTGGGTTGCAATAATGGCTTGTGAAAATGTTTCTGTGAGTAAATTAAATACCTGAGCCATGTCGTTTCGCACGTAGACACGTACACTCAAGTGTGTCGGGGACTCGTGGGTGTTGGTCGCATTTGGTCGTACGATATTCTTGCGATTTCAAAAACTTTTCAAAAATAGCATTCTTGTCACAGTCGTGCATATTCTGTATCTGTCTGTATCTGTATAGCCGGTATAACTGCCCTTCGGCGTAACACACCAGCTTCGCAGACACGCGGCGCGGCGGGCTACATTACACCGATCGACTTGTTACACCTAACCCTTGAACATCTAACTCAAGACTAGTGATGCATACATAAACCCAATTTTAGGTTCAGGTCCGGATTCAAGTCCAGAGGTTTAGGTTCAGTTCCGGACTTGTAAGTCCAGACCTAAACCCATGACATATACAAAATTGCATGTTGGCAACCTTGCAATGTTGTCTGGGTGAAACTTTGGCCACATAACATGGAGGCCGGTACTTGACGATGCCCGATGGAAATGTTTTCTTCATTTTGCAGCAAAGATTTTACAATCTACGGAAGGTTTTAGGTGGTTTGGAAAGAAAAGGGGTTTGTGATATGGTCTTTTATGGTAATAAATCCGGACTCGGTTCTTGGCTTTTAGTTTTTTTTGGACTTGAACCTAAACATTCTTACAAGTCCGGATCCAAGTCCAGTGAACCGGTATGCATCACTACTCAAGACATTGTTTAAAGCTATCAATGCCCCTACTGTACTTGGTAACAGCGAGTTCCACTCTGCGATAGTTCTATGAAAGAATGAATTCTTGAACACCTCAATCCTAGGTTGATAACTCTGGTACTTGAAGGCATGGCTATTTCTTGTTCTCTTCTGGGCTGGTATGTACTTAGTAATTGGGACATCCACCTTACTCATTTTGTACATCATGCATAGTCTGGACATTTTTCTTCTGTCTTCCAGTGACACCCACTGTAGGTTACTTTTCATTTCCGTGACACTAGCACCTCTTTCATAGTTGTTCATACAGAATCTTGCAGCTTGATTCTGTACCGTTTCCATATTTTGTGCAAAGCTAGGTTTTCCCCATTATGCAGTTTACAGTAACCAACAAGCAAAATCATGAAATGAACATTTGAGACTTTCATATATCACTTTATTTCCTTCTGCCATTGATAGCAAAATGTTTCGATCTTTGGAAATAAAAATAGTTTTAATCTTTTGTGGTTGAGCATGATAAGATCGGGCGGGAAAACTACATGTACATGTATGGTACATTGTGCACTGTTTATGTATGTAGGTACATTCAAAGCATCATCATGAAATTGTCTTCTGTATTTTCATTTTCAAACGCCTCTTTCTCCATCTTTGATATTGCATGCATATATGTACATGTACTGAAAAATACTGTTCATCTTAACCAAACTCCCACAACTAGGCCCTTCGAAAGAAGGTGACTTAATATGTAGATACCTTGGCACGGGGGACTATTGGTAACAACTTTATCTACAGACATTGTTTGCTTTTTGTTGTCACTGGTTGTTTTTGCTATGTTCCTTCTTCTTCAGACACATAAGGTCAATGACCTGGACCAGACGTCTGTCACCATGGTAACTGGTGCTGTAGCATACACCCTGTGGTGTTGGGTTACATTATGTAGCAGGGCAAGGCTGGTCACCATATACTAGTATATGGATGTGTTTGAGTAAGAATGAAAAGAGCAGTAGTTTGGTAGGCTAGACTATGTATAGGTAAACATTATGCATTTGCTTTGCAAATGTTACCATTCCAGTTACCGTAAATTCAGTTTTGTTGCAGACACTTACTTCTAGTGTTTTAGTCAAGTTTGCAGTTGAAACAATTTTGTGGTGTACACAAAGGAAATGCATATTTGCATTGTAGTGAATTCATGTTGGAGAGGCCACAAAAATTCCAAAATTTACGGTATTTTGTTTGTTAACTGCATTCTAGATGTACTTCGCTACTTCTTCACCCAACCAGTAACTCTAGACTTCTCTATTCACTTACAACTGGTTCTTATATATACCTACAACATCAACCATTCCTTATCACATTCAACAGTATATTAACCACATCACGTTTTTACCATTGCCACAGAAAGTACATTTTGTACATGACATCCTCTGACTTCAAATCTAAATGCAAGAATGCAAAAAAAATGGGCCAGCAAAAAAAACGAAATTTTCGCGGCCATGAATGTAACAAGAATTGAAGCAATGAAACATGGTATCATGGCCAAAAAGTCTTTAATTTCTGTAGTCAAGAAGTTAAAAGTGCAGAAAGTGACACTAGTGTGGTAGTCTACATGTACAATGTAGTACATTGTATTACTACAGCTACATGTTCATGTACACTCATGGCTATCACACTTGGTGTCACAATACCTGATATGTTTAGGCCACACCAATTTAATTTCTTGGTTAACGGATTCGTCCGCTTCATTTTTTTCTGATTTGCAAAAAAAAAAAAATTACAGAATCAACAGAATGCTCATATTTTGCCCTGAACAGTTGAAAACATTCCTTTCTTCCTAGCTGTTACAGTTATTCCATCTTTCAATGCAGTGGTATCATTAAAAGTTCAAAATTCATTGTTTAAATTTTGAACCAGCCTGGTGTGTTGACTTCATGGCTCCTATCATACCATTTTGGGCCATAATAGGATGCCTAGGCCTTTTTTTATTGGTATTTTTTTCACCCGCCTGCTCCATTTTTTTTCTAGAAAAATCTGTTAAACAAGAAATTAAATTGGTGTGGCCTTAGTGATAGGAAAAAATAAGAGAACTTAACCACTTGCTTCAGAACTTTTGGCATTTTCTTGTAATGTTGATCAATCCCAAAGTGGGACAAGTTTGAAATCTGGCGAAAACTGATGTACATATGAATGTCATCCATAAAATCTACCTGCCATGGCCTTTTTTCATTCTGCCAGCAGCCAAAAGCACATACTCATGCCTTGTTTTTGTGGAGAAATTTTTTCATTTGGCAGTTTGCATTGTAATGTTAGATGTATTTCTCACACTGTACTATTGCGCTATACTTATCACATACCAAAATTTTCATACTCTTTTCAAAGCATCATTTTTATGTACACATTAATGATTATGATCATTAAGACACATCAAACCATACATTATCATATCATAATTATCATATCATCACTGATACAGTTCCACAAACTCAACCCACAAACTCTTAAACAAACTAGAGAAATGAAACATAACTGAATACTGTGTTAGTTTGTCTGATTCAGGTTTCGAGAAGTTGAACAAGACTTGCCCAAAACGACTGAGAATTCTGACATTGTGTGTATTATGAAAGATTTGGGTCTCTTTATTAATATTTATTGCCCTTCAAGTATGTGTTAGAAAGCATTTACATCAATTTGGTATCTATTTTGTGAAACACTTTTTTCTCGAAATTGCAGCGATGCAAAAATTTTTGGTTTACTGATGACTTTTGCTACCATTCTATGGTATAAACTGGCCACATTTGGGGCAATTTTTTACTTTCTATCTAAGACATTTTTGAGTGTGTTGCTTCCCTTCCACTCAAAGGGAATGTAGTTTTTTTGCCCTCAAAATCATAGAAGACCAGGTATTAAAAATAGATAACCTCTCTCAATTCCCGCAACAAAAACAAAAAAAGAATTAACAAATGCTATTATCAACTAGAAAACCTGTACAAATGTTGAGAATGCAAACTCCAAGCAAAGTATTACAACATATTTTCAGATATCTTTTTTTACTTTCTTTCAATGATTTCAGCAATTTCATACAATTTGAAAGAACAGAAAATATCAAATAACATTTTAGTACCGATAAACTTGTTAAGCACTCTTTAGTTTTGCAGATACAGAATCTGACAAAAACCGAGAGTGCCAAATGCCTTGCAATGACAACGCTGGTAGTTTGCATTCTCAACAGCTCCCCCTGTTGATTCCAACTGGAACTGCAGCTAGTGGCTCTCGCTGGACTTTCTTTTGGAAGAGACGGCTTGCAGCGCTTGCTCGGATAACAAGGATGGGTCAGACAGGATGGAGGTAGTCATACTCAACTGTCTCAAGGAATTCAAAACCGCTGGAAGAGAGAGGCAAAAAAATTCTGTTATCTTGTTCCATAGGAGCACATGCAATCTTTGCAAACAGGTTGCAATCTTTATACATACAATGAAGATCACTGAAGATCACTGATCTCCTGAAATTCTGCATGTTAATCTCCCCCATCCACATGCTGTCAACCTACTCTCAAGTTTGCCCCATTTTCTGTGTCTGACCTTTTGATCATTTATTCTGTCTGAGGCCACACCAATTTGATTTGCTGCTTCTCGGATCACCCTGTCCATTTTTTTTTGTGATTTGCAAAAATTTGTTGTTCTAAATTAACTGCAAAATGCTCAATAAAAGACATATTTTGGCCCCAATGGTTGAAGAAAGTGTTTTTCTTCCTAGTTGTTTTTCAATGCAACAATGCATTTTTGTTTCATTAAAAGTTCAAAATCTATTGTTTTAATTATAAACCAGCCTGGTATGTTCACTTCATGGCTCATATTGTAACATTTCTGGCAGATCATGGGGTGCTTTGGCCTGTTTTTTTTTTTAATTTTTAATTTGGCCCTTTCACTTCATATTTTTTCTGAAAAAATCTGAGAAACAACAAATTAAATTGGTGTGGCCTGACTGTCAATGGACACAGACCCACAGCTCAGCCACCCAAAACAATACTAAGTCTTCCAGAAGTTATAGTACCGAATGTCACTGTTAGTGTGATCTAGAACTTACTGGGTCTAAGCGCTGGTAGGGAACAGTGCTCGTCTAGCCATGATAACACTGTCCTGCAGAAGTCCTCCATGCTACCCGTGGACACAGCCGAGTTGTACGTCTCAAACAGGGGGCGGATTATCAGACTGAACTGTGAAGCAAAGTTAAGGTCCAACAACACTTCAAAATCATCTGACAGTGTGTATTGTATCTAGTGCTGTGTACCTAAACCCACATTTAGGTTAAGGTCCAGATTCAAGTCCAGAGGTTAAGGTTCCGACCTAAACCCATGGCATATACAAAATTGCATATTGGCAACCTCGCAATGTTGTTTGGGCAAAACTTTGGCCACATAACATGGAGGCCAACACTTGACGATGCCCGATGGCAATGTTTTCTTCATTTTGCAGCACAGATTTTGAAATTCATGGAAGGCTTTGCATGGTTTGGAAAGAAACGGGCATGTGACATGTTTTTTTGTAATAAGTCCGAAATCAGTTCTTGACTTTTAGGATTTTTTAAGACTTGAACCTTAACATTTTTACTAGTCCAGAACTGGTACACAGCACTAATTGTATCACATCTTTCCAACATCTTTCTTATTACCTCCATGTTTTCTTTGTTTGTTTGTGTTACTTTCCTTAGTTATTTTTACAAGCTTGTAGCTGGAAACTGAAAACAGGAAATGCGGTAAACTTTTCCAGGACCTTTGACCTAACTTCCTGTCAGCATCCCTGATGTGCCTAGCATGTGTAAACAACTATGGGAAACACACAAACATATTAAACAAAATTTCCCTATCATGAAAGCTCACCTGTGTTGGTAGTTATGTGTTTAAGGTTAAAACTTTTCTCTCACCTAGAGCTTTTGACCAGTCACTCTGGTCTTGCTCAGTAGACTGACCCAGTGAGGCTTGTCACGTGGCTTCTTTTAAGTGTAACGTCAACACTGGGTCAAAGGTATTTGGTAGATGATGCCGGCCCCCGTTGCAGTTAAGTGAAGTTCAAAGAAGCCACGTGACAAGCCTCACTGGATCAGTCTACTGAGGAAGACCAGAGTGACTGGTCAAAAGCTCTAGGTGAGATACTTTTTTTGTGCTGGACCAAAAGTTTTAACTTTAAACAAAATCTCCCTACATTTGTACATAGAGGTAAAAAATTACAAAATTGAACTCTGGCCCAAAGATGGTTCCACAATAGGTTGAACATGTGTAGGATACAATCCAAAATTTCCAGTTTTGTGATGTTCTCGTTCTGACGTATTCGTCAAACATTTCCTTCATGTGATCACTGCGTTGTCTGGTGACAGGTGCCCCCGTGGCTGGCAGCTGTGCCTGACAATTTCTGTAAGAGGAGAAGAGTTAATGGAAACAGGAAATCAGAGTTTTTTGGTGACGCCTCAGGGGGGAGCCTAATGGTACAGTGTTGTGTGCATAGGATATAGAATTTTCTTCTTACACAACCATAGAGTTTCTCACCTGCTTACGTTTCGATGTCAATCAGACACCTTCCTCAGAGCTTCTGACTGGAGTTCTGCAACTCGCCGCTATTTAACGCCAAAGTAGGTGGCGCTTTTGCGGCGAGAATTTGCGGTTGTGTAAGAAGAAAATTCTATATCCTAAGTATCTTCCAACCTGATGAAATTATTTACGGAGTATTGTGTGCAGTTTGCAAGAATTCTAGGAATTGTACAGGTGTTTTGTCCACAGGCATGGAATGTCTACAGGAATGTCTCCCAGCTCTGTTTACATGCCCACATTCCTGGAAACCCTTGGGAAAACCTGTCTGCCCTGGATGCCCTGCTTTCTGTGACCCCAAGGCTACATGTAGTTCACTATACACTCAGGGAAGGGTAGGATACCAAGGCTTCCTCAAAAAATATGAAATCATCGCATTGTGGCTAGCATATCAAAGTTGAAGGCCCCCAGCAACGTAAACAAAACATGTCTAGTTGGTCATGGTATCAAGTATGGTCTAGACAAGATTTGTTTACGCTAGAGGCTAGAACCTTTGCAAATGTACAGTTCAAACCGTGAACTGCCTTATTGTCTAAAATTCAACTGAAAGGTTGTAAATGAAGGTACATACGAGATAGCACTGTTCAGCTCTTCAATCTCCTGTTTTAGAACTCTGGCCTCCTCCAACATCTGTTGTCTCTCAGCCTGTAACTTCTTTGTATAGTCCACCGCTGGAAGCAAGTAGCAAACAAGGAGAAGTCGTAGACATCATCCCTCCATGAAATAGCTTGTTATTTTGTAATCTTTTGGTGTATTTCAATAGAGATATTATGAGTCAAACTTTGTTTTTATCAGCAGAATGATTTGTGGTGGCACTTTGTATTTATCAAGCTGTCATGTGCAGGCGTTTAGTGTCTTGTTACCATGGTTTGTTTACTTTGATGGCCAGCAGGTCATTTGCCTTAGCCTGGGTACCATCCCCAGTAGTATATTCGCAAACTCTATAACTGTTATAGAGTTTGCGAATATGCTACTGGGGATGGTACCCAGGCTACATTTGCCTGTACATGTAGGTCAATGACCAGGTCAAATGACCTGCAGACCAGACAAACAAGATTTATTTTCCTGCATCTCTGTCTAGGGGTAAAAT